CAAAAAGCACGCCCGCGTTGGTGTAATTGCACGAAACGGGCATGTCGTCAACGAATATCCTTTATGATAGTTAGTCACGATTGGTCGTGTTGGACTATCACGATCGAAATGCAAGGTGATCGGCATGCAATAGACTAGTAACTGTTTGTCTTATTGAAAGAATCACGACGATGAAATCGCCTGAACTTTGTCCGAGGCCTTACGCTGCCTTTGGCGTTCTTTCCGAAGCAGTTTTATTTGAAGCTCAAAAAAAGCGCACACGAATGAAGTTGTTGCAGAAGTACTATGGGACCCCTTAGCTGTAGTGCCATCTAATGAGTATCATTGCAGTGGCGGATATGGAACAAACCGCACGCGAATATCTCCGTGCTGAATTGAAAGCAAAAGGAGAAGCTGACACAGTTGAAGACTTGTTGAGAGTAGGATTCCATTGGGGACCGTTGGTCACTGTCAATCATCTTCATATGCATATATTGTACCCTATAAGCGAGGTTAGTTTATAGCGGCTAAATCTTTCTCTTGAAGCATCGAAAATTTATAGCTCGGTTTTTTCTCGCGAAATGTCACATTCCGTCCTGGTAAAGTTTTCCGTACCACGAGCGAGATTATGGGTGAACTGAAGAGGGCCGCCAATTTACCAGATCCGCTTCAGGGTTCGTTTCATACCTTCAAACTTATTCTGAATTTTTGTGGAGCTCTATTTAGAAAACCCCGCGAAAGATGACAATCCAGATAGGCTTTCAGCACATGCAGTCGCCAATTAGTCCGGTCCTTTCATTTTATTCATCCTCTTTTTTGATGCGATCCATTCCTTGCCATTACCGTCTCTTCAGACAAAAACGAGAAAGATAAAAACCGAGTTTCATGAAATCGAGTTGCGTAGCAGCTGCATGACTTACGTAGTAAGCGATTAGTTTTGATTACAACTGAGCAGAAGTGCTTCAGTCACGCGAAATTTTGCCAAATGAGATTATCAAGTTTCATCTCCTCACTGACAAACTTCTATCAATCACTATATTTCTCAGTGCTATATTGTATCCTCGAATTATTGGTGCCTATGTTATAATCATCTCTGTTCGCCATAATATTTTGTATATAAACGATTTCAAGACAGCATTAAATTGGTAACGTTGCTGAACCTACGTATACAGAATGGACACAGACACGTATTCATGGAGTCATTTAGCAATTTGTTCTCGCGTACTTGTAGTCGACCAATGTCAGTGCCGTGGGGACTCTATACTCTCGGATCTATTAAATTATGAGCTTCTAAATTGTGGCTTATAGGCAGAATTTCGTTTTCCACTTTTCACCTTTTCGGAGCCTTCTCGCCACAGGCACCCATATCTGGGCTTCTCAGCGCACGAAAATAACAAAAATAAGCATTTCTCGAGCTTTTCAGGTCCGCATTTGGGAAATACGCGTAAGTGGCGGATCCCGAAACGAGAGAGACGAGCCACAGAAAATTTCCGGCGTATTTTCATTGAATGCGGACCTGGGAAGCCTTGAAAAGGCTCATTTCTGCCATTTTCATGCGCGGAAAAACCCAGATATGAGTACCCTATGGCGAGAAAACCCCAAAAAGGTAAAAACTCGGAAACAAAATTCTGCCGGGACACTGCCTTCAAACACCTAGACAATAGATATCATCCTTTAAATGTCAAATTTGATTAACCAGGTATCATGTGCATATAAGAAGCAATAAAGACATGCAATAGAAGCATAAAGACGACAGCCAAGAAAACACGGTTGCTGAAGCAGCGTACGCGACTTATATGACCGTCGCCGGCCGTTATCATGATTTTATTGCCTTAGACTACCTCCTGAGTTGTCTACAGTGCTTCTAAATTGCAGAGTCGTTTGCACCAG